CAGGCTGAGGGTGTGGTCCCCTGTGTGCTGGGCCCATCCTAATTGAATGGTCACAGCACAGAGATTTAAATCACAGTGTCAGAGGGCAGAGATTTTTGGGGAGAAACCAAGGTGGCTTTCTGCCACAGGCACGGGTCTGTGCATTGGGTTTTTGGGAGCAGTGAGGGGGCAGAGTAAGATGCAATGGAGCATGCGGGGTAGGGTCTGATGTGGTTTAGGGCACAATAGAGTGGGGCTGAAGACTGGAGGCTTATGCGAGGAAATGGGGGACAGAGTAGAACCAGCGAGTGTTGGAGGGGCAGGGGCAATACATAAAGGCTAATGAGGGGCACTTTGGGACCATGGTAATCTAGGGGGAACAAGTAAGGGGTTCAGGGAGCAGTTCCACCTATGGCCAGGCTGGGGGTGTAATAGCTGTACCCTCCCACACCAGGTGTCTGCCCCACCCTGGAACTTGCAGTCAGACCCTCACCAAACCTAGTTATATGTGTCTTTGTTTTTGCTTGGATCTGAAACTGAATAATGTAGTCCTTTGCCAGTAGCATATTAGTAAGGCTTCCAATTTCTTTTTAACTGAAGAAAAGTACATGCTGCATTATGTGATTATGCACACCATCTGCACTCCCCTTTTCAAGATCCTGGATCCACTGATGATTTCACTGATATAAAAGTTATTGCTGAATGTCTTTATTTATGTAAATTAGTGATTCAGAGATAGATGAGAGCAAAATGACTGAAGTTCAATCTAAATAAAATTGAACTGGTGTTAGCAGGCTGGAAGAAACATCCAAAAGATATAGAAAAAATTATTCTGCCTTCTCAGAAGATCTGTGACCAATTCTTCAGCCAAATTGACTATTTGGATTGCTAATTGCAATTTCTGTCTGCGTTTGGAAGATTGTAAAACAATGGCAGTAAGATATATTTTTTGTCTGATATGTTTAGAATAGATTGGTCATCATAGAGGATATTCTGGTTTTCTGCTACTCTGTCCTCTATTGGTATGAAACCCAACACCTTTATGTCCTCCATTTTTCTCTCCAAAAGAAAAATGGAGGACATAAAGGTGTCCATCTTCGCATCAATAGAGGACAACCGGACTGTCCTCTATGATGGCCACCCTAGTTTAGAATGTTATAATTCTCTTGAATGTAGAACTCATTACCACCATCCAAACTTCTTTCACTTTAAGTTTGGACTTGTGAAATCTTTTGTAAGGGACTCCACTTTAATTGTGCTTTGTAAACTGAAGAGCTGGTAAAAGGCAATGGTTTACTTGTTAGGTGAAATATCTTGGTTTAAATACATAATAATAGATTAGCTGTTGAACAATTCCTTGTCTTTATTTTAAATGACAGTGTGACTGGTATTTTTATTACATTTTTATGCAGTCACACCAGGTATGCCTTATAGTATAAACCAAAAAGTAACTTATAATTCTGCATTTCTACATGTATATAAAATCATGGAGGTTGTTTTTAAAGTTTAAAACCATAGGATTTTGTTTGGAGTATTTGAATCTAAAATGTTTCTCTTAAAATCTGTGACTAGTACCTTAAATATAATAACAGTGATGTTGTTCCCTTTTGTCCCTTCCCTAGGGACTGCACTTTGACATGGTTGTATATTACAATGACCCTGAGAGCTGTTAGGAGTTTGGAGTCCTGGAGTCCAGCAGAACAGGTCAAAGGGTAGATGCCAGATTAGAAGGTACTCCAGAAGAGAGGTTGAGTGATTGGCCAAAAATCTATCCTTATTTAAAAATAAATAAATTATAGAGATTTTGAGAAACAGCATGATAGAGACGCCATAACTTTGTTTGTTCTCTGAGCACAGCATTGGAAAGACTTAGATTCAGATAACTGAATACAGTAGGTTACAGGAAACAGCCTATTGGTGAAGGAACAACATGCAAACTTGGTGTCAGCCGAATAAAAAAAAAAGTTTTTCATAGGGGTCATTTACTGATGCACACCAGCACCATGGATAGCTCCTGAGCAACTGTCTCTAAAGCAAGTGAAGTATGCTGTTGTGTTCTGGAATAATTTGTGCAAGAAACATAGCTTTGTACTAATCTACTGTATGCTTTAAAACATGGATGGTGCCTATACATTTCATGTATGAAATAGCACATGGAAGGATTTTCTATACATAACTGCCATGAAATATTTAATTTGATAGTTGTCACCACTGGCAAACCCTTAACAGTTGAGACTGATGATCACTCTCCCAGGTCAAGTCAAGGGTTGTAAATGAGTCCATTGGTGGCTAAGAAGGCTGATTCTAGAGCTGCAGACTCTGGCAAATGCCACAGGTATTGGTTAAAGGGAAAACCGTACCATGGATTTCTCAGTCTTGTTTACCTTTCATTTCATTTCTGTCATTTTTCTGCTTCTAGGCCCAAATGGCTTTTCTCAAAGTATGATGTACCTTCTCTCACAAGGCATTACCATATAGCCCTGTCCTGGGTTAGTATTTCCCAAGTTGTGATGTCAATGCCAGACTTCTTAACATTTGCCTTGAGGGTATCATTGAAGCATTTCTTCTTGCCCCTGTATGTCCTTTGTCCTTGGCTGAGTTAGGAGTATAGCAGTTGTTCTGGTAAATGTACATCAGCCATGTGCACACAATGCCCCATCTGCTGCAGCTGATGTTGAATAATCAATGCTTCCATAAGGGCCTGACATTTGTACGATGATCCTCCCATTTTATGCCAAGGGTCTTCTGTAGGTAGCACTGGTGATGGTGTTCCAGGATTTTCAGGTGGTCCCTGTAGGCCACCCAAGCTTCACAGCCATAGAGAAGAGCTGGGATTACCACAGCCTTAGGTAGCAGGAGCTTTGTTCTAGTACAATGATTACAACATCAGGACTCAAACAAATTTGATAGTAAGGCTACTATGACTAAAACATAGAGCAGAAAGCCTGTGTAACAAGTGCCAGTATAATAATAGGAAGATATTCTTGTTTGACCTTTAAACTAATCCAAAGTGAAATAAATCTTCTCCATCCTTATTGTACCAAATGAACATTAAGTATCTAAATAAAGGTATATAATAAACATTATTCTATAGCCACTTTTCCCAGGAGATATATTGGTTTACCATGAGAGAAAGAACCTAATGTTCATTTTTCTTTGAAACAAGGCAATAACATTAGAGAAAGCACTTTTTAGTTATGAATTACTTTGCATTCTATTGTAGAGAGTTATGGTAGTGGTGGGCTAAGTGATAGCTAGCATTAATTAAGGCAACTTTTGGAATTCTAACTTGGTTGCATTTTCAGGTAGAGGGAAACCAGCTTTCAAAGGCTTGCCTCAAATAGAAAAAAGTTCAAGCAATCAAAAGAGACATATCCTTTCAGGAAAATAAATAAGTACATGGTGAAAAATAAAGCAGATTAAAAAAAGACCCTAACCATTTCTTAATCCTTTCTCTTGAAAGCAAAAAGGGAAAAAAAGAAAGGAAGAAAATGTTAACAGTTTGCCAGGATTTCTCCAGAAAGTAGAAATTTTTTCACATCCAAAACCATTACAGGAAATAAATAGAAAATAGTATCCATTTGTCATATAGTTGACAATGATTGTTTTATGATTCCTTATTGTATTACTAATTTCCTGTAGTGAGAACTCTAGACAAACCAAAGCGAGAGTAAAGCCACAAGATCATTTCCCAGAATATCACCATTATTTTTGGTACAGGTATTAAAATTTCTGATATTAATTGAAGAACAAAATAATCTGTTCTTTAATATCATCAAAATGTTGAATCAGTGTAATTGTGACATTTAAAATCAAGGTTCAGGAGCCAAAAGATCATAAATTGTGTTTTTTAATTTACTGGCATTTGATTATGCCCTCTGTGTATTAAAATATCACTATTTCTTCACTAACTGGGCACGTCTATATGTGCAATTAATGTGTCTGAATTTATTGCACAGAAAATTCAAGTATATTAAAATGCTCCTGGGTATATATCTGAACATGTGTTCCCAATGGGAGCAGCAGGGCTGCTCTTGCCCTGCTCTGCATCCCTGCAGCAGTGAGGGAAAGCTCCAGACTCACCTGGGTGCCAGCCCCAGGCTAGCAGAGGGCACAGCAGCCAGTCCCAATCACTGTGCCAGCTGCATGGCAACCTGGACTGGCCCCAGTTGCTGTGTGGGTGGGAGGCAGCTGCCCCCAAAACTGGGAGAGTTTTCCCCGTACTGCGGAGATCAGGGCCAGCCCTGATCATGACACGGCTGGGAAGAAACTACCCTGAAGCTCTCCCCAGCCCTGTTTCACTCCCCACCTCCACCCATGCTGCCTGGGCTGACCAGGAGCAAATTGCTCCCAATCAGGGTCTACACCTGCACTTTGGCACATTAGTTAATGCACCATTTTTCTAATACCTGTATTTATTGATTCTAGCAAACAGAGCATTACTAATTTAATGTGCGGTAATTGATGCACATGTGTAAGCAGTGATGCTTTACTGTGCATTAGATTAGTCTAATGCACAGTAAAGCACCTCGTGCAGGTGCACCCACAGTCTTTTAAACTTATGATTAATTTAGTGCTCACAAAATTAAGAATGAATAGCCTTGGTGTGATCTCAGTACTGGCCAGGCAAGTGCCACACAAACTTTGTACAGAAAGCTCTGCCTAGATCTGGATTGCTGTGGATCTATATTTATTCACAATAGGGCTTTGCTATTGAGTCCTGGCATCATTTTAATTTATTTTCACTAAAGGGAAGGCTTATTAAGGTTGGGTTTTTTTTAGCTGGGTATGCATGGATGTACTATACAAGAGGGACTGGCATGGGTGTCCTTAAATTCCTTGCAAAATTCTTGCTTTTGAATGCGTGGCACTTGATTCAGTGGCCCAGGAATTCCTTTCCAGTTCTTTGTTGCTTTTAAATAATAAACATACAATATTGCAAATGAAGTACTCAGTTTTTGACATGTGAGTATATTGCTACTTCTCTTAGTTTTATTATTTTGTTCAATGTAATTTGTTTTCTGTTGTGCTGTTTAGATTCTGAATGAATATTTTCCTTCATCTTCCCCCCACACCTTCCCCCCCCCCAAAAAAAAATAAGCCAAAAACCCTAAAATCTCTTAAAACACAGTTGGAATAATTTTGTGCTGTCACTTTGCATGAAAATAAAATTCATCCTGCTAGATTAATATTTGTATTCCTGTAATCTATCTGATCTGATCTGATGGGATCTAAAAGCACCTGACCCTTTTTGGATTGACTGAGATGAGTTTGCGTACTTCTAGAGGCATCTTCTTTTCTCTTGAATCAAGGACTATGGAACTCTTAATTGAAGCTCTCAGTCAGAAGAAGCATGTGACAGAAGGGTTGTATGACTAGCATGAGATAAGTGCAGGCTGGAAGTGGCCTTCAAAAAAAGAATTGCCTTCTTCTCATCTTGAAAGATCAAGGCTGAGGAGCTCTCAAGGAAAGGGCTTGCTTATAAAGAGTTTTTACTTAAGATACCTCAGAAATGGGGCTGGCCTTAGGGGTGGGCGATGTGGTCAGGGGGATGCCACACACTTCCCGCACTCACAGCAGCATTCTCCCCGCACCCCGTCCTGCCTCTGCTGATTCCTGCCCCAAGCAGGAGGAGCAATGCCCAGCCTAGCCTGCCCCCCACCTCCATCCACTGCTCAGGAGGAGCTGGGCTGGGGAGTGTGGGTGGCAGCAGTGGTGCCTGCCTGCCTGGCACACCAGGCTACTCTGCTTCCATGCTGGACTGCGCCCTGCACCCCTGCCTCTGCCTGCAGCAGCACTGCTGACTTGGAGGGGAGTGTTGGTGGGGGGGTTGTCAGAGGGGTGTATGGGGGAGTGCCAAAATACAAGTTCAGCCAGTGTGGTTTTTTCCCTAAGGCTGGCTCTGCTCAGGAGTGCTTGGAAGAGGTGAAGGAAGTCCTGGGGTAAAAGTTTAAGAAAAGACCATTTGAGAAATGTTAGAAATAGCCCTGAGGAAATAATGGAATTTTATAAATGAGGTTGGAGTGGATAGCTATTTTGTTAGTGAGGGCCTCCAAGTGAAGGGGTAGATGTTGTTAGCAAGGGGAGGTTCTAGAAAGGTTCTAGCATCCCATGAAACCAAAGCCCAGCAGCTAATTCAGTCTATATTGCAGCAAATGTGGAGCTTCTAGCAGGACCTGCACCAATCTGCAGGTGAAGTATAAGAGCTCACTGTGCATGCTTTACACAGCCACTATACCACCCCTAGGTCTGTCCCTGTTTGCAGCTGAGGAGGGCTCTGGGAACGAACTATCTAATCTGTAGAAAACTGCATACAAAATTTAAGTGTGTAATCCTTAAAGAGTGACAAGAATTGATAATGTGAACTGTTAAAATAATGTTCAGGATATACAAATGACTAATCTGTCTTTGAAGTGAACTATATTTATTGTATATTTTTGGCCCCCTGTCCTTTCTTATAATCTGTTTCATTACATAATCACAGAACAAACATATGCAGTAAAAAGTGTTATGTGTACATCTAAAATTATACTGGTAGAAAAAGTTAACCCTACCTCCTCCTCAGAGTTAGAAATAATCTTGAGAGGCAGTAAACACTTAATCTATATGGGCCTAAATGGCTGAGAATGTTTGGAAGTGCTGGGTGTGATCAGCACTAGAAGCTGTCTGTGTATAGCAGCAATATCATTCTGTGTCACCCACCTCTGTAAAGAAAGTGGCAGCAGGAGAGGACTAGGAAGAGTTTCTGCATGAAGAAGTGCTGTAGAATACAGAGGGCACAGAACTGTCCATGGGGCAGAGACTAACCTTTAAAAAAGTTTACAATCAATAAAGGTACTAATTTTTAAAGTACAACTGGTATGGATGACAGTAAGAGAACTGAATGACTTATAAACATTAAAATAAACAAGAATCCTAAAAGCAAGTAGCACTGATATGTAAGAACTACAATTTCATGATTTATCTTTTTTATTATATCCCTACTGAAAAGCTACTTTGGTATGCTTTGTGAGCTACTTAGAAAAGTAAATAAAATTATTGAAATAAATGCATGCTTAGATTTGTGTAGAGTAAGGTTTCATAAAATAACTTGAAATCAAACTGTAAGTGCACATGGTTACCTATCAACCTCCAAGTTTGCACCAAAATGCAAGAAAAAAGCTGTCAATGCATCATTAATGTTGAAATTTTAATTGCACAAAAGTAGAGGAAAAAAAAGAAATCTCAATGAAGGTTTCCACAGCAACCCCAGCTATGTAGCTCAATTCAGCAGCTTCTATTCTGTTTCATTACATAATCACAGAACAGGTATGCAGTAAAAAGTATTATGTGTAAATCTAAAATTATATTTTAGGTAAAAGTGCTATATTACCATAAAATTATATATAGTGCAACTTATTTACAAAGATTTTCTGGAAGAGTTGTATAATGTTATTCTCCTGCAATATTCTTGGGAAGGTAATTATTGAAGAAACAGCTAAATTATCAGGAAATTAGTGGGATGTAAAACTTCACTGCTATTTTAGGAAACACTTTGAATGACAATTCCTTCAAGTTTGAATTTTCTGCCAGGAATTAAAATCTGATTGCTTTAGATCAAAATAGAAATTATAGATGAAAGTGAACATTTACTACAAATATATGGATAACTACTTTTCTTACTAGCTATGTAAACAATGTCAAGTCCTATTTAGAAGCTTGTCAAATGATTTATAACCTCCAAACTGTAGGATTATACAGCTTTCAGAACCGCATGTCACATTACTTAATGTGATGTTATATGGTAAAAGATCTCATTCTAATGCTTAGATAAATGTCCTGACTTTCATTCAATTAAAATCTGAACTTTAATATTACAATATTCTG